CTACCGAAGAGTAATGTAGCAGACTGGTCACCCCACTCACCTCCACCACCACGGGGTGCGCTTCGCCCCCTCTACCAAACTCCCCCCTTTCCCCCTCCCCCCACCGAGAAATGCGTAATAAATCTTACCTGTCTCTTTTTGGCATGGCGTTCAGCATTGGAGTGATAATGTCCTGAAGGCTTTGTACTCTAGGACCTCGAAAGAGAGCCCGTGCTCTGTCACAAGCGGTACACAGTGCGTTTCTAGTGCAGGGCCCGACATCATGACCTTGGCAAGGCAGGTCTTCGGCTTCTTTGGTGCAGTTGGGCCGTCCAAAGGCGACTTGCTCGCTTGAATCCCGGTCCATTCATCCATTACTGTCTTATACACATCAGCATGCTGACTCTGGACGTGGGCCAGCTTGTTACCCGCATGATTTCCCTGTAGGAAGAAAAATTGCTTTAGTTCGAGGAAAATGAATGTTCCAGAAAATGCGACGTCAAACTGGTCTGCTCATGAGTGGCCCTTCACGACGACGCCGAGCTGGTGTCATGGCCAGATCGACTCGCCGATGTCGCGAGACACGTGTGTCCACAACTAGCCACCTCGCCGTTGCGACGTCTGGGAGGTGACCCGCACGCAATACACAACTCTGGCGTCGTCTGAACACCTCGTGACGTCTAATATCGCCTGCTCTGCTCTGCTCGCAAGCATAGTGGGAGCAAGACGGTGCGACGGCGCCACGCTCCCCGGTGCATGGCCAACTTTATCGCGGGAGCCTGGGGCAGTCGCGTGGAAGCGCGCGTCGAACGGGGCTTCGTTGACGCCCCTGGGGCTCAAAGTCGATCTGGGAGGCCCCACAGTACAACTGATCTGCCGGGGAGGAGGGGAGGGGGGCGCACTTTGCGGAGAGCAGACGGACGGACCCGGAACCAGCCTGAACTTTAACACGGTACTGCACCAGAGCTGTACTGCACTTTTGACCCGCACCTAGGGACCGGGACGTTTCCGGTGCGGTCCCGGTCCCGGGTTGCGGTGAGGGTTCGGTTCCACTGAACCCGGACCGGGTCGAACTCCAGGAGGGTATCAAAATTAGCCACCGGCCCCGCTAAATTCAGACACCACGCGTCCCTACCGGGGAGAAGGGGGGCAGAGCAAGATCCAGGCACTGTGGGGCCTTCGAGGTCGACCTAGAGCCCGAAACGCGTCCGCCAGTTCGGCGCGCACGTCGCTGCCACGCGCAAGGGGCCCGTGCCGCGGTCGAGATGGCTCTGAAGCCGGACGTGCGGCGTGGGGCGCCAGTGCACCGTCGTGCCCACTACGAACCCGTGCCCACGAGCCTCTCCAAGCAGCAGGGGTGGAAAATCGGAATTAAATTATTGGTTTTACTCCTTTTTGTTCGGAACAAAAAAGTACCTCAACAGAAAAAGTATCACCAACGAGGATACATTTGTTATGGCCCTACTTCCCTCTCGTTCCGTCAGAAATTCATCACATCGGTTTCGTTCCGTTCAGACGGAAGAGGAAGAGGTAAGGGGATGAGTCGAGAATAGAATGGGGTTAGTGGGAGGTGGCCGATCCCACCCGCGTGGAAACGTATGGTATCAGTTTGTCAGCAGTTTGTCATCTCGCCAATGACAAACAGAAGACAAACTGATGACAATCCGATGATGAAATTTGATGACATACTGATGACATACTGATGACATACTGATGACGAACTGATGTCAAACGCAAATCGGCGTTCCGTCATCAATATGTCATCAGTATGTCAGCAGTTTATCAACCGTTTGTCTTCGACGGATTACAAACGGATTACAAACGGATGACAACCCGCTCACATACTGGCCGCTTTCGACGCTGGAGAATGCTGCGACCGAAAAAGCTGGACACGAAATGTCCTATTCTATAAGAGCCTATACAATGTTGAAGGTGTGCTGTGGACTGTTCATTAGGGCGCCGAAGGTTGCTGAATGTGTCCCCCGCGTAAACTTTTCGCTCTGAGCACGATGGTGGTGTGAAATTTTCTCTAGCTACAGCCGTTCAAAAGTTACTTTTCGGATTTTTTTTGTTTCAAAATTCAACAGAGTATGTTATCGTGACACATCTCACTAACCCGTTTCGCTCTACGGCGCTTAGTTTAGGCTGGAAAGGGAATTGCGGTGTTTCGTACGGTGAGGCTGGAGCCAGTATGTCATCGATTTGTCCTCCGTTTGTAATCCGTTGACGACAAACGGTTGATAAACAGATGCCGTACTTATGACATATTGATGACGGAACGCCGATTTGCGTTTGACATCAATTTGTGATCAGTTTGTTATCAGTATGTGATCAAATTTCATCATCGGATCGTCATCAGTTTGTCATCCGTTTGACATCTGTTTGTAATCGACGAGATGACAAACTGTTGACAAACTGATACCTTACGTTTCCATGCGGGCACTGCTAACCCATGTGCATCAATGTCGTATACACACTTTTTTGTCTGTAGCTCGTGGACTTGTGGGTGCGTTATGATGGGAGAACATTTGCACACCTACAAGTTTGTGACATGCATTCACTTGGCTTCCATGGCCGTGGTCTTTGTTCTTTCTCATGTGCGGCCTACTATGTGCATTAGAACGGTACCCACCCTTTTTGGAGTCCCTCATTGTCTGGTGTGTTGTTGATATGTGGCGGCGTATCGCCTCCACTATACAAGTGTATTCTTCTATCTCTATTCTACTATGTATTAGATTTAAGAGATTAGGGAATCAGCTTGTTAGATTCAATTCGCTAAGGCTTGAGTTCGCGTACCGGTTCTTCCCTTCCTCTCCCTCGCCAAACGGTGGCTCAGGAGAGACACTCAGCGACATCTGTCGGACATCATCGACAGCTCGCATTCGGGACTCACCCTCCTTCTCCTCCGCGCCCGGTCCAGCTCCGCGACCGCCTTCGCACCCCTGCGCGTGTGCCTATGCACTCCCCTCCGATGGTCTCATTTTTGTATCACTGCGCATGTGGGTGGCCCGACTTACATCCCCTTCCAGGCACCTCTGCCTTTTGTCAACCAATCGCATGCGACGCCTTAGGCCCGGCGCACTGCGGTTGTTCACCCTGCGGTTCGAAACCGTAGAGAGGGAGTTACCCCTCACTCCCCTGGTCTTAGGTCCGACTTGTTTTGGTCATCCCCTACCAGGAAGTCCGCCGCCGCCCTCCGAGCGCCGGCGGAGGGGAAGTCTTCCCCAGCAGTTCAAACAATTATAAAAGCTCGTGTCGCACCTCAGAACGCACAGTTCAGCTACTGAGCTTGCCCCGACCCCTGGTAAGCAGCTCAGTAGCCCTGGCCTCAGCCTGCCGTAGGGCCCCACCAAGGGTAACCCTACGGCAAGCCAGCTCAGCTGCCTGAGGCCCTGTCCGTCGTCGCGCCCCGCACCACCTGCGGCCGAAGGCTCTGCCCGTCGACGCGACGGTTTTGCATCTCGCCCTGCCACCGGAGGCTCTGCCCGACGCCACGTCGTGCCGCCGCCCTGAAGGACGTCTCCAGGACGAACGCCTCCATTCCGCTCTGCTACGGGACTCCGCTTCAACCCTTTCGAGCTTGCTCCGCCCGCGACACCGTTAACTGCTCCACCACGCTGAGCGCCCCTTTCTCTTATCGATCGCTACCGCTCTCTTTCCGTTGCGTTGCCCACCCTGTAACTGGCTGGCCCGCACGGTTCCGAGCGCGTCTTTCCGGCTCCACCCACAAGTGTCGCCCGCCGGCTCAACTATTGATTACCAGTGATGCCAACCTCACGCGTCTTAAATTCACCCCCCTTTCGTTTCGCTCAAGTCAAGCCAATTGAATCTCTCAACTCTCGTGAAGATATTGAAGAGCTTAGAACCTTATGATTTGAAGCGTTGTACTCAAGATTCTGTGATCGGAGATATATATACCATATTTTACTAAAATCATCGTTTACGGTTCACGACTACTTATTCCGTAGAAATACCACGAAGCATATATACCTACAGATACACGTTGCCCTCGAGTCGTCTCATCATTAGCCCGCTCTTTTGCTTAAAAGCTATATAAGCGGGCTTATGCCATCGCC